TTCCTTCCAAGCCTGATCTGCTACATCTTTTGTACAATATTCAGGAAGACTGCAGCTGTACTGACATGGAATGTTATTAACGACTGCACATAATTTAACAGCACCAGCTGGTAGCAATCTCTCTCTCTCTCTCTCTCACGCATGCATGCGCACACACAAGCAATTTGCTTTGTCTTTGCCAACCTCTAGCATCAGCACAAACACATTTATTGCAGAAAACTATAACAGAAGATCAGGACAAAGACCTTCACGAACAAACTGTATCCCGCAACAGAGGTTTCATCACACTTGTTAAACAGTAACACCATGTCAGATCTTGCAGATCACTTTGCACTGTCTTCCTGGCCAGCCCCAAGCTGCATCATTAGACCAATGCCAGCTGATCAGTCTCTTGAAAACAATATTAAAATTACAGGATATAATTTTCAGTTAATTCAATAAATATGCATCATACTTCATTACACTCAAGAAAATCAGTGCACAGGCAACAATATAACAGAGCAAAGTACAATACAGGAGGTAACATTATTCCTTCCAGATCACATCACTTCTTAGAAAATAACCCCAGAGAAAGCAATGTGCTAAAAGAAAATAAATAATCCATACACACATAAGATTCTTGTAGCACACAGTGCAGCTCAGTGGTTGGCAGCAGATGACCACCTTCACTGTGGCACAACCATTCCCAACATGGGTTCTGCAACAAAATATTCTTAAACTGTGTCATGATATATGCTACGGGGTTCATAACTTATATAAGACTGGAAGTAACACAAATGCAACTTACACTTTACACAACATGTGCAGTATATGGAGTGGTAAATGCTGTCACTTTTTAGACTTTCTGTGTACATCAGCATTTTACTGTTCGGTTCATTCTGTTAACAGTACGCATAAGGGAAGTGTTTTAAATAAGCTTAGTTTTGTACGGAGATGAAAATCTTGAATGGTGTAGGCTTTTTTATACTACTATATAATGACTTTAAGTACAAGAAGACTCTTCAGTAGTTCAAGGATTTTCAAAGAGTTCAGTTACTTCAAACCTACATTTCTCATTTTGATTACATTTTGTGTTAGTGAAAATCAACTGTGTTATATTTTAGCATCCTGTTGCACTGATTCATTTTGTCTATGATTTATGCTAACCGTCTTACAGTGCATACTCTTTTTCACCTTACGCTTCATTTTTACACTACATGTTTCAGCACTAATGTGCCATCTTCAGGTGTCTGTATGCATGTCAAACTACTGTACTGCATGCCATGATGTCTTCGTTCTAAAATGACTAAAATCTGTATTCGTCATATATGACAATGAGTTCTAAATATTAAAACTTATCAGGATTCATCCTACGTCACATCTCAAACATGCGAATTACACCAATCC